GGCAAGCATGAGGTCCTGAGTTTGATTCCCGGTAGCAAAATAAGAACAATAATGTGTGCATAACAAGTACAGTTACACTGGGCTGTGCTCGTTCCTCAGCACCAGGGCCTTTGCCTACCATGTGTAAGGAACTGAGTTCAATTGCTAGTGCAAAAAAAAGTAAAAAGAAATTAATTGAAATTAATCTATCAAGACTGTCTTTCAAGGGCAACTCTAGTTTATGTATAATTCCTGCTTGTTTTTTAACATATAAATTAATATTAAATGTTTTCAAAATCCTACATCATTTTTGTGCCTATCTTTTCAGCCCCTTTGGTAATCATACTTATACCTAGAAAAGATACAATTTTTATTTTTTTCCAAAGAAAGAATAATTTTGCAAGTACATTGTTGGGAGAGTTAAGATTCCACTACCTTACAAATTTAGAAATTTTCCACTAAACACATAGAATTCATGGTTAAAGAAGAATTTGAACCTTCTCAATCTGGAAAATTGAGCTAAGCAGATGAAGTCCAAGGAACCCGGCTTGTCCTTTCCTATAGAAAGTAGAGGTATATTTTGCTATAATTTGGGTAAGTTCCCCCTAAGGCCCACGTGTTACAGGCCTGGCTCTTAGCCTGTTGTGCCAGTGGGAGGCTGCGGAACCTTTAGGAGGCAGGGTCTAGTGGACTTAAGTTAGGTCATTGTTGGAGTGCTCTTGGGGAGGGTATTGGAACCCTGGCCTTTCTTCCCTTTCTCTTTTTAGTTCCTGACTACTATGAGATGGGGCAATGCATTGTACTGCCAAGTGCTTCCCACCAACATATTCTGCCTCACCACAAGCCCAAAAGCAATGGAATCAGCCAACCATAGACTGCACCCTGTAGAGCCAGAGTAAACCTTTCCTCCTTACAGGTCGTTTATCGCGGGTATTTGATTACACTAGTGGAAAGCTGACACAGATAAGTTCTCACAAATGAGGTAGTTGTTCTGGCTTCAGCTCTGACAATCAATGCCAAGAAGGCTCTGTGTGCACACACACACACACAGGACACGTGTGGAAGGGATACAGGGCATGGCTGTGCTTCTGACTTCCATCACATCTTTTGCATAAAGTCTAGTTAAAGCAGATGTGTGAGGATCATGGCGTTTAACAGAGGCCTTACAGTGGTCCTGGGGAGCCTTTCAGAGAGCAACTCCCAAAATGCAACCCACTTACTTATCACAAAGTGCCGACGCTGCCATTAAACCTGAATACTGAGGTTTTAGTTTAGAAAAAACAACTCCTACATCACCATCTTTTGTCTTAAAAGAAAAACACAGTAACAGGTGTGCCATAGGTTTGCCAGCACTGCTGTAGAGGGTCCCCTGGAGCAATATGTGGAAGGTCTAGACACAGTATCCACCGTCTTTGCTTACTGGTAAAGGTTGGCGGAAAACCACCTGGGCCTGCATGAGCCTCAGCCACATTAAGTGCCGGCTGGCAGGAGGGGTCCACTAATCTCTCCTGCTGGCTTTGTCCCTCCCTCGGTGACCATGGGAAATGTTGGGAGGGAGATCCAGGATCCTGATTTTTCATAAAGAACTTAATATTTTTGAGAAATTACTATATTTTTCTAAGTTAAGAAAAGTGAGTTGTTTGTTGGACCAAGTTAAGTTTACTATATTTTACTTTCACTTAGAAAAGTACACTGGCTGATTTTGGACAAAATAATAATAATAAAATGTTAGCATCTATTGTGTGACAGACACGGTCCTAGTGCCCTACACGTCAGCTTATTTATTTTTCACAATAAACTTTGGAGGTAAGTAATGTCCTCATTCTGTAGACAAAGTGAGACAGTGGCTCAGGAACTTGGCTGAAGACTGCACAGCAAGTAGGGGTTGTAGGGGTTGGAGCTGGGTTTCAAGCCCAGGCAGTTTTAACTGTTAACATCTGTGTGTTACGCATATTCAGCACAGGCTCCGAAATGACGGCTCAGGCTGGTGGTCGTGCCACAGAGGTTGCAAGGAGGTTAAATCCAGATGACATCCAGATGCATAATGGCTGGTGCAAGTGCTGTACAGAGAGGCCTTTAAATCAATAACCAGAAGGAATACTGTGGGTGAGAAAGGCTTTAATAAAAACATGTCACTTGCAGTGCTTGATATGTACGAAGCACTAATGTTAACTTCCAGTTGCACTTTAAAGAAAAGAGCAGGTTGGTATTTAATGTGAAATTATATCAAAATAAAAACAGACAGCTTTTCATGAAAGAAATCAGTGTGACGCATTCATCCGTGTAAGTATGTTTGGCTAGAAGTGCTAAAAGACTTGGTTTCCAGTTCCCACTCAGAACAATTTTGTGATTATGAGCAAGTTACTCCTCGTCCTGAGCTCACCTTCCTCATCTGTAAAGCAGGAATAATGTTACATGGTGTGTATGTATATCACACACACCAAATACAGACATGAAATGTACTTCAGAAATGGTGGTAATGGGAAGATGGAGTGATGGCGAACTTTTAGAGCTTTCAGGGATACCAGACAGCCCGCCGCAGCACGTGTGCTATAGTTTTGCACTACTGGAGGAGACACTGAGCCTGTCAATGGAGACACGAGACAGCTGTGGACCCTACTCAGGTACACTTCCAGTGCTCCATGAAGAGCAAAATGGAGGTATGTGCTTGCCGGGCTGAGGAAGAGTTTGATGCCTACGAGTGCTTGGGGCTTTGAGGAGACTTTCGTGCAGACTGAATGCATAACCAAGGCAACTGGATCATGAGTAATCTGTGTTGTAGACATTTATATATTTTCACATAGCATTAGATCTACTGCTCTCACGACCATTTAATTTTTAATTTTCTCATCACAGGAACATTAGTTAATGGAAGCTATAGGTTAAACTCTATGAAGTTGCTAATTATAACCATTTTAGATGAATGAAATGACAGTTTCATATGGTTCAACCTGATTTATCTCTGTTAATGACTCAGAATCTAGAAAGGGAATTTTAAAAAATTTCATCACAATGACTGATGTGGTTTTACTTTTATTTTCTACTTATGCTATAGATAGGCTACACTGTGTTGTAAAAGTCTGATTTGAAAATGGTTTATTAGTTTCTCAGGACTGCTGTAAATAAATTCATACATATTTAGTGGCCTAAGATACCACAATTTTATTATCTTTCAGTTCTGGAGATCAGATGCCTAAAACCATCTTACTGGGCTAAGTCAAGGTGGTAGCAGGGCTGGTTCCTCCTGGGGCTGCCAGAGACGATGTATTTCCTTACCTTTTTCAGTTTGTGGAACTTGGAGCATTCCTTAGCTTGTGGCCCCACCACTCCAAGCTCTTGCTTCTATTGTCGCATCTCCTCCTGCTGACGCTGACCGTCCTGCCTCCCCCTGTAAGGGAACTCTGTGATGACATTGAGCTTACATGGATTATCTGATTCTTCATCTCAAGATCCTTGACTTGATGAGTTCCATTTTTTCTCGCTGTTCTGCACTTGGACATTTGCAAACACTGATTAGATGGTAAATAAGTGGAATTAAAAGGGATAAAATAAAAACAGGAAATTCTACATGAGATTACAGTGGGATACTAAATTAAAAAATTAAAGTTATGCCACAGAATATTGTAAGTCCTTTTTTTAACACTGAAAAGTAACTGGATGAAAAATTCTATAGTTTTGTATTTTAGAATAGAAATATTCTACATATTTCTTGCCCATTGAAATTTAAATTCCTACCATGAATTTACGTTTGTATTTAATTTACTTTGCTATGAAGATAAATTTCCATACTCTTGAGGTTGCAAATTTTAAAATATCACCCCAAGATACTTCCTACACCTATCAGATCATATTTTGGTCATAAAGTAGATACAGTTATAGTATACATGGCTTTAAATGAAGTTTTATTCTGTAGCAGGGATCTGGATTTTATTTTTCATTTTAGGAAATGTGATGATGGTTCTATCATTCATGTCTTATGGCAAAACACCGGATGAGCTGGTAAAGGCAGTAAGCAGAGGTTGGGGGACCATGCCTGAGACATCAGGAGAATTTGAGCCAAGGGCCAAATGGTCTACACTGTGGGCACTGAATTCTCTCTGTGGCCAGATTCTGAGCTGGGGGAGTAAAGCTAGATATGGCAAATTCCTAACCCAAGGAACACGTGGTCCTACGACATGGGAAGAAGTTTACACCCCACCCACAGGCCATTCGTACCATTTTAAAATAGCAGCAGTGTCTCTGTGCCACCTCCGGTGTCGTATGAGGTGCTGTTGGAAGCAAGCCCTGAGCTGTGGGTGGGGATGTGTTCCCCCCGGATTCACATGTGCAAGAACTAACCCCACGTACCTCAGAATGGGACTGTATTTGGAGACAGGGCCTGCAAGGAAGTAATTAAGATTAAATGAAGTCATAAAAGTGGGGTCCTAATTCAGTAAGACAGGTGTCCTCCTAAGAGGAGGGACAGACACCAGAGAAGGCCGTGAGAGGACACGGTGTGCTCTCTGCAAGCCAAGGAGGGAGCCCAGGAAAAACTAACCCTGCTGACCCTGGACTTCCAGCCCTCAGAACCGTGGCAAATGCAGTCCTGTCGTTTGTAGTATGTCGTGCCGTATTACAGCAGCCTTGGCAAAGTCTACCTTCCCTATTTACCTTCCACATTTATATTTTGCATTTTGCTTTCTGATCTTCCGTCTGTGTACATTCGTTCTCATTTATGTTTAGAGTTGCACACGGGATATCCCATGACACTTTCATTTCTGACCCACACCGAGCTCTGCTGCAGACCCGGAGGAGCTGGGATGTTGGCTGGGTGCAGTGCGGCCCGCACAGTACGCTGTGTCCCCCGGGTGCAGCTCCCGCACCTTCCCGGCACGATGGCAGAGGAAAGCTGGAATGAATGCAAAGCGAGGCTCTGTTGCGTTCGCTTAGGGTGACGTTCGTCTCAGTTAGCTGCCAGTTGTCCAAGCCAGGGAAAGAGACCACTGATATTTGCTCCCCTGTTTTCTCATCATTTCGTTCAACCAAGTACCTAGCCCGTGCCTGGCAGTCACATCTACTGAGCGACCTGCAGCCCGCTGTCATGCTGAAAGCAAGTGTTCTCAGGAACAAAATTACAGTCAGAAGCTGGCCAGGCGAGCGGCAGGTGTCGTGAGGTTGGTATCGTGTGGCTGTTACAGGGTAATGAGAGCTCAATTCTAATTTCTGACAATTTGAAAATTTTTTAAGTAATGAACACATTAATAGAGCTAGAGATATTTTGGTATCTCCTGCATTGTTTGGTTTCAGTTCATCTTTTTCACCATTTTAATCAAGTTATGGTAATACTATTCATCTAACATTATCTTGTTCTGTGATTTTGAAAAACTGCTTATTTTACATAAAGCCTTGGGCGCGTTTACTTGGGCCTATTTCTGGGCTCCTGTGAATGTTCCATTTTCCAAATTCCTTGTCCTACCTATAGTCATTCTATTTTGATTACTATTGCTAGGTAATACATCCTAATATCTGATAAGGATATATTGATTTTCTCCATTAAGTTTCTGGCTTTTCAGGTATTTAGTAATTGTCCATTTGTTTTACAAACTAATTAAATTTTAGCACAGTTTTAGAAATGTCATTGGATATTTGTATTCAATCTGTAAACAAAATATCAAAATTAAGGTACTTTTCAGCCAGGTTAAAATAAAAGGAATTGTCTGGCCTTGACTCTGTGCATGGACAAAGTGACCATGCTGCCTGGAGAAATAGCAGAAGGTGAGAAGGAAGAGGCGGAGGGAACTTGGAGGGTGCTGAGCAGGTGGCACACACACAGGGGGACAGCTGTGTATTCCAAGTAAGCTGGACAGTTTAACCTGGTTACAGTGCTTTACTGTCCTCAATTTTGAGACAGAATCAGAATAAAGGGCAGAGTAGGTGACTGCTTAGTGCTAAGGGATAACTTAATCTCATCAGTTTTGTTTACGCATGCTGAATCACTTGTAGGAAGACCATAGCATTATCTAGTATTTAAACATGTGGATGTAGAAGCTACATTGCCTAGTTTTGACTTGGGTCCCCTACTTACTTGTTGGGCCTGAGTTTATTAAAGCAAGAAAATCATAACCTGTCTCATAGTGCTGTTGGGAGAACAAATTAATATTTATAAAGGACTTCAGTAGTATCTGACCAATAAACATTAGTTATATTACGGAGACACTTTCGGTTTGAAAGAGGTCACTTGCCTGTGTTTCTTTTCTTTTCCAAATCTGAATGTCTACCCTGCGCCGCTCTGCGTGGATGGTAGAATCCCGTAAGGCTGAACTCTTGTGCCTGGCGTGCACCATTATCACGGAAATGCTTCTGAGCTTTTGTACCTGACTTATTTATTGGTGCTCCCTGGCAGCCATCCCCTGCCCCCTTAGCAGAAGTAGCTGGATTTCATTAAAATTCAATCTCTCTTGATACCATCTCTGCTGGATATTAGAAGAGCTTGCTGCCAGTGGAGCCTTAGCAGCCTGATTAAGAATAGGTTGGGGCCGGGATGGTCTAAGTGCTCTAGAATCATCACCTACAGAGTTTCCCCCAGGGCTCCCCACTTCCGGCGCCCTGGGCTCCCTGCCTCTCCCCTGCCCATCTGCCCGCTGGGAGCGCGGCAGGCCTCCTGCGGCTTTCTCAGCCGGACACTGAGATGCGTCTGTCTTCCTGTTTCAGGTGCACGTTCTCTCCCACCGCCTCGAGTCCCAGCCCTGGGGCCCTCTGTATGAGTGACGCGTCAGCCTGCCATGGAACCTGGCCCTGCGCTGGCCTGGCTTCTGCTCCTGAGCCTGCTGGCTGATTGTCTGAAAGCTGCTCAGTCCCGAGACTTCACAGTGAAAGACATTATCTATCTCCACCCATCAAGTAAGACTCTCTTCTCTTTGCTCCAGAAATGTCGCTTTATTTCAAATTAGAAGTAGGTTGAAAAGCAGGCTTTCACGCCAAGGGGATATCTGGTAGTGTTAATTAGGGAACGCCATATTTGACCAAAACGAATGCTCTATGCTTTACTCTTGCTTTTCCACAAAGTGTTTGCTTTTTATTTGAAGTCAAATTATTAAGCCTGCTTTCTGTGCCCCATAAACAATCACTGTGGTTCTAAACGTCTCTCCCTTTCACTCCGTAAGTTGTCAAAGCGTACTCCCGAGGCTCAGGGGGAGGAGTGTGTGTAACAGATCAGCCCTTTATAGGTAAGATAGCAGCTTGTCCTCCTCTCTGTGCTTCCAGTTTTCAGTTTCAGCGATGCTTCCATCCACAGCTTCCCATTTCCTGAGCCTTTGGGTTTCCTGTGTGTAATAATCCCCTGAGGAGTTCTTAAGAGTGTAGGTACCCAGCTCTTTGCCCCCAGGTTTCTGACTTGCATATATCTGGGGTTATGCTGCGGATTTTTGCTTACAGCAAGATTTTCAGGTCTTCCTGCTGCAGATGTCCTGAGGCTCACACTTGGGGGAACTCACAGTTTGATTTTCTCTTTTGGTCTCCATCTGTTTATCTCCTCACTTTTGTCCTAGTGTGACTCCCCTTTACTATTGCCCCTGTGGTGGTGAGAGTTCGATAAGTTGTATATATTCTGGCTTTTAGTTTTTGGCCCAACGTACATTAGTTTTTAAAATATTTTGCCCAACAAATAGTGTTCACCTGTCCACTGTTTGTCAAGGATTTTGTTAGGCATGAGAGAGATACACGCAAATAAGATACAATCTTGGGCTGGGGATATAGGCACAGCACCTGTCTGGGAAGCTCAAGGTCCTGAGTTCGATTCCTGGTACCAAAAAAAAAAAGATACAATCTTACTTTTCAGGATCATATACTCTACAGAGTAGAGGCAGCTACTCAGACTCCTTCAATTCTATGGGGCTAGAATATTTAATGTCAGTATGTTCTGATTTCACTAAGAAGTGGTATATGGAATTCACAGGGGCTTGGAAGCTACCCACCCCTGAGCTGCTTCCTAGCCTCCTGATTTGAAATATATTCTCTAACTTTATGAAGGTTAAATAACATGATGCTACAAAGAGCTTAGCATTGAATATGAGCTGTAGTAAATGTTCAGTCAATGTTAAGAAATTTTTTAAGTGCTTATTTCCTCATTTCTAAAGTAGTAAAATAATGCATATCCTGTAGCATTATCTTATGGACTAGAAATAACAGCATAAAACACCAGGCCCATACCTAATAGGCTCTCAAATGGCTGTTCATGATTGCTAATATGGTTGACTTAGTATCTTTTTTTTTGTTGTTTTGTTTTTTTTCTGGTACTGGGAATAGAACTCATGACCTCATGCTTGCCAGGCAGGCGCTGTGCCGCTGAGCTAAATACCCAGCCCCTGATATCGTTGACTTAGACGGCAAAGTGAGGGTGCTGAAAACACACCACACTTAATTTTGTAGGGCTCCAAATATGCTTTTCTAAGCAGTGAGTAGTTGATCTAGACTTTGCCACTGTATCCTCTCACCAGGATAGTCTAGCACCTACTGGTTAATTGCATGGAAGACTTACCTGGATGCTTGTTTTTTCTGAGATTTTTTAGTTTGTGTTAGTAATAAACTTCAATAATAAAAAGAAAAAAAGATACTTGCTGAGTTTCTAGATTGCACTTTGTTCTTTTCTTTGAACAGACATGCGTTTTATTAGACTTGGTCAGGCAAAACCTAGATTTCAGTCTCTTAGGGTTGGATGCCAGGGTTCGGTCTTCTGTAAAGGTGTTGTCAGCTTTGGCCACAGACCCAGTCGTAACTGGGCTGCAAAGCTGGCCGTGGCCTCTTCTGAGGCTGTGATGGAACACAAAGTAGGGAGGAAGATTGCGGTGCACAGATTTAAGTGAACAAGGACAAAGCAAGCTCACTGCTTCTATCTCAGTGGGGGGGTGGGCTGGGCCAGGGTCTGGGCTCACTGGCCCCTGTTTGAAAAGTTGATTTTAGAAGGGGGTCTTTGAAGGGTAAACTTTTCTAGGCCACAGGGGGATCAACTTTTCTTTAGAAGATGATAGGAAAGTTCTGCTCACATGACTTATACTAATTAAATACAGCCAGGGACTCCTAAGAAGGAACTCAACTTGTGAAGAATTAGCGGGGTTTCTGATATGATCTGGAAGAGCGGAGAACGATAGAAGTTGTTCCTAAACGAGATTATAAGTAGGTGATTCACCGCCAAGCCTGGGCCCAAGTTCCCTTTAAGAGTATCTCCGGAATGGTGACGATACAAATTCTTGTTGGAGTGAAGTTACAGTGCATGGCTCCCTCTTGCCAGAACTTTGTTTATTCTACCCACTTCAAATCAGATTAACTTCACACTTCGCCAAACTATTTCAGAAGTTTGCGGTGTGTTTTTTGTTTTCACTTTTGAGTTTTTAAACGGCCCTGGTCCTCTGCCTTCAGCATCAGGCCGTGTTTAGGTGGAGTGATCTTTCTACCAATAAGCAGGCTCCTGTTCAACATAAGCCATAAAAAATATATGAGGGAAGCGTAGGTGTAGTTTGATTTTGCATTATTTATATAATCACCTCGCTTTGTAGATGGAGGCGGAACAGCCATGGTTGGGTCAGGGAGCAGCTGGATCCCATTAATGTTACATGGAAAAGCTCAGCGCCTGCCCAAGGGCTGTGGTGATGTAGGACGAGCTTTCTATGCCAGACGTAAACTCACTTCCCACAGGCTGGGAGCAACCTTTGTCAGTAACACCCGGGGCGAGACTCGAACTCAGGCTGAGGAAATTCAGCGCCCCGTGACTATTCTCCTTTGCGTTCTGCTGCTGTAAACTTCGAAGTTCCTCAGCCAAGAAAAAGGAGAAGCTTGATACCTTTCAAACTTGGGGCACTGTCCTAAAGACAATCTGTTCTGCACTTTGTATGTGCTTCCCCCCTTATTTTTATGTGAAAAGTGGTGATTCTCCTTAGCTTATGGCTGAAACACGAAAGTCTAATTAAAGCCTTCGAAATAAGAACAATATGAAAGAGAAAGAGAGCTACTTATTTGGCTGTCAGACATCATGCAAGGTAACAGAATTTAAAGTGCTGCTAGGCTGCAGTCTGGTCTTGGCCTCCGTTTCTTTTCATAGAGGGGAAGTCTTTTCTAAAATAAAGTTGAATTTCCCTCTGGATGTATGTTTTGAGCCTTTACTGAACCCTGTGCACCAGAGGTCTGTGTCCTGGTGGGAGGTCTTGTTAGTGGCCGGCTGGGAGCTAACATGTTGACTCGCAGCCCGGTAGTACTACATTCCCTAGCTCCTGGAGGCAGGAGGCTTCCCCAAGAGTACCGGGAAAGGCATTTCTACCAGAAATGTGTTCATACTGAAATTACACTGACAATATTTTATTGCCAAGTGGACTGAAGAGAAAGATAAATTTATTAGATTTCTAGAATTTTAATATTTGAATGTTATTTCCAAAAACAGTGCAAATTAATTTGGCAAGAATAGAAAAAGGTTGGCTGCATTACATATGAGCGTGCATTTCAGAATGTCCGTTCTCACCACCTTTTCAGTAACTGAAGGCTTTTGTCCAAGCAAAAGTTCCGAGAGATGGAAACAAAGACTAAATCTTTTCCAGTGGCTTACGAGTGAATTACGGTAGGTTGAACTACGGCTGGCCATGTGGGTTAATGCACATATTATTTTACAGGAAGTAACTGGGCACTTTGGTGTCTCTTTCCTCTTTACAATCACTTTCTCTTGAGGGACCAAGGACTTATGCCCTGAAATACAGAGTACTAAGCTTATTAACTCTGTGATCAAGAGCCAAATTAGATTCATTCACAGCTGGGGCCACAGCGATCTGAAGCTCTGCTTGCTCTATAAAGCTTTGAAGTAACAAAGAAGAAAATAGCACATCTCTTAGGAATCTCTTTCCGTCCTTTAAAAAAAAAAGAAAGAAAAACCTCTTTATCAGATGCAGTATCAGTTAGCAAGTTACTGGAGATAGTTGTTCATCTGTTGACCTTTTTTTGCCTAAATATCTCTGGAGGGAAGAATTTAACTCTTTACTTGATTTGTACTATAATTAGCCACTGAAAGATGAGTATGTTTGGACCGATTTGTCACTGATCAGTGACTATTCACTGATCAGCACACCTGCCAAGATATCAATAAAAGTTCCTATAAGGAAATACTAAGCTGGAATCCTTGAGAATGAACACAGATATGAAGCTGTAGATTTTAAAATAAAACTAACCAAAAATATGATCCTTTGGTTAACTGCCAATGATATATGCTGATAAGCTCATTCAGAGATAAATGGTTTGAAACAAAGCTTTGTTTTGCCGCCATAGTATTTTAGCTCATACTCCTGTTTAGGTTTCAACATCCTTTGGGTAACTTCAGAGTCCAGGCCTACTTATGTAAGAAATGACAGTATTTAACTTAGTGTGTCACTGTTTCGTAAAAGATCATCTTGAAAAGTCTAATGAAAATCCAATTTGGGGAACAATACAACTTATTTGTGTTTGGTCCTCAGTAACTTTGTTCGCAGAGCAGTTGGATCATCAATCTTCATTCAGTTCTTAATTTATCTCTTGGATGGGAAAGTTTCCAGGAATAACTAATCCAACACCCTAGCCAAAAATTTTTTTGGCTGCACTGACAGACAGATAAAATTAGATGCTCTAGTGAATTAATCATGCAAACTGAAGCGGTGTGACTAGCTTGCAGTCATAAACCTTGGTAGATGTGATGATCGTGTTTTGGGAAACGCTGTTCATGGTCATATCCTTTATGCCTAAAGCTTTGATCCTCCCATTTCACATTTTATAAGCTATTTTAAAGTTTTATCTCTCAAAGTTATGTATTAAATATTTTAAAGTTAATAGTGAAAGTATCTTAATGTGTTCAATGAAGACAGTTTTCCAAAATATTTCATATGTTTTTTATAATGATAAATGTAAAAACAATTTATTTAAAATATCCATAAGAATGCTGAGTGACTTTGGTATTTGAGGATGGTTTGTTTTAAATTCTTCAGGCACGTCCTCACCAAAATGTATCTTTCAATTCAAATGTAACTCACTTATGTAGGTGATGGGACGTAGGTACACAAATTACTTATATATAATTTCACAGAATACTTTCTTCTGGTTATGAAAATTCTGCAATAGGAGAGCTTTATCTGCACAGCAAAATTTCCTCATGGGAATGAAGTGGCTGTCTCCCAGTCACTTTCTATTACTTTGTAAGATGATCTAGGCCTTTGCTATCATTGTTTATAAATTAGAGTCACCAACTGCTTGGAGGAACATACAACTCTCAGAGGCTCCATAAAAAGGGCCAATGGCTTGTCGTTTTTGGTTTCTGACTTTTGGCTGTGTAGGGTATTGGATATTGTCACAGCTCTGTGGAATACTGTAGGCAAGTACATGGATGGGCAGCTCTTCTAGGCAAGGTGAAAATCAAAGTTATATCTGGCCCATAATCCTAGGGTTAAGTTGCTGCCTCTTCTGTCGTTATTCTTGGTAATATGCTTAATTGGTTCCATGTGGGCAAAGTAATTTACCCTGAGATGATCATTTCTATCTGCGGCACTCACAGGCTCAGCCACCTGCAGGAGAGGACAGTTGGCTCCCGCAGATGAAGAGTTTGTGTTTGCAGCTTTCAAATAGGCCAGGTAATTTTACAAATTTAGAAAGAATGCACAACTTTTTTCTTGTTAGTGAAGGGCAGAACTCTAAGGAGCCATGCAAGAAAATGATTAGAGCCATGAGGCAGTTAAAAGCACATTGGTGCGAAGGACACAGAACACGCTGGCCTGGCATTCCCCGTCAGCTCCCGTCCTGTGCCGGAAGGCCTGCTGCGCTGAGCTTACAGGTGTGGCAAAGAGCACAAGTCCTGGAGGATGGTCCCGCTGAAGGCGAGAGGAGGCAGCCTGCGGGAGGGGAGGGGATGGAGTCCGTGGTCGGCTCGCTGCAGCTGTGTGCCTCACAGCTCCCTTCTTCCAGCACTGCCCAGCCCAAACATCTGGCAACCGCCCGCCTGTACTCCAGTTCCAAAATGATTTTGTCCTTGCAGAAATGCCACCTAAATGGAAACATACAGTATATAGCTTTTTGAGTTAGTTTCTCTTTTATCTTTTGGTACTGGGCATCGAACCGAGAGCCTTGCACTTGCCAGGCAGGCACTGTGCCACTGAGCTACACCCCGACCCAGGTTAGCTTTTTTTGACTAGCAGTAACTCCCTGGAAATGTATCCAAGTTGTTAAGATGTTAGTAGTTCACTCCTTTTTGTTACTCTCGAGTATTTTACAGTATGGATAAATCACAGTTTGCTTAACCATTCATCTTTAAAGGTATCTGGGTGTCTCCAATTTTGGTCATTACATGTTGAGTATCCTTCATCAAAATGCTTGCGACCAGGGGTGTTTCAAATTTTGGAATTTTTGTTTTGGATTTTGGAATATTTGCACATACGTCATGAGATATTTTAGGGAAGAGACCCAAGTATGACATGAAATTCAATAATGTTGCATATACACTTTCAATGTAGATAGAATGGAGGTAATTTTATAGAATGTTTTTAGCGCTCCTGCATGTTGAGTAAGACTCATCATATGACGCCCGGTGTTATTTTGGGGGGTGCCATGTTGGTGTTAAAGAAGTTGCAGATTTTAGAGAGTTTTACATTTCAGTTTCTCAGATTAGAGGTAAAGTTGCTGTGGACATTTGTATTTAGTTTTTGTGTGTGAATATGAGTGTTCACTTCTCAGGAATAAATTTCTCAGAGTGAAATCGCTGGGTCATGTGAAAGTTGAATGTTTAGCTTTCTAAGATACTTGAGAATTATCTGGAGAATTCTTTTTTAAAAATGAATATATTTTCTTCACAGGATTCTGTACGCAGTCTAAAAATCAATCTTTTCTTTTGATTTTTATAGCCACCCCGTATCCTGGTGGGTTTAAATGTTTCACCTGTGAAAAGGCAGCAGACAATTATGAATGCAACCGGTGGGCTCCTGACATCTACTGTCCTCGAGGTAAACGCTCAGTAGACAGACTGGGGTCCTGGAGCTGGTTTTGTTTTTTTTTTGAGTGAGCAGCTCCATAGACTTCAGTGTGTACTTGCAATCCTAACTGCTCCCTGTGTCTAAGGCTATTAGAATTTTTCTTTTTTTTCCCTGCACCAGTAACTTATCCTAAAAGACTGCCAGAGATATGAAAGGATCCATAGGATTTTTCCCTTTTTCATCTTTGAAGTGCCGCAGGATGTAAGGGAGACTTCTCCACCCTGGGCCAGCCCAATGCCCAAGAAGAAGAGAGCAGCCAGCCTGTTCACCACTCTTTGAAGCATTAGTCATTGCATAGTAGCTTCTTTCATGTCAATTATGAATTGATGCTCGTATAAAGGTTCCATTTATTACGCATCTTGCCAGAGACTTCTATCCCAAGAGTGCATGAAAGTAAGAATTCTGAATGTCAGTAATGCACAAATAAAAGTCCTGAGCTTCTTAAACTCTTAAGGTCTCTTTGAAGGATCAGATGGTACCCAACTGAAGTTTGAAGTTTTGGCTGAAAAGCTCATTTCCAAAGGAAGACCCATCATTTTCACATCTCCTTTATCCTAAGAAGCAAAAATGGTGTTTATATTTGGCAGGGGAGTCATTGTTTATTGACTGTTTTATTTTGGAGGGAAGAGGATTGATTTGGTAGCGAGGGGGAGGGTGATGAAAATTCCCCCAAAGGATTATAGGGGGGTGATGAAGATGGGCATTTGTACCTACAGATGTTTAAGTGAGTAGTTAATGTACCTAACTATTGATCTGACTCAGTTGTTAAAAGGACTAAACACATCAAATTCATTATTTTTCAACATGACAGAAGAGCTCGCATGCTCCACTCAGTGAGTAGTATTCTGCTTCCATGGTGGACTGAAAATCGGGCAAGTGTGGAAGACACCATTAAAAGACAGGTGTCAGCTGCCCAAGCTAGAACTACTTAACCAGAAGTCTCCACCTGCACTGCTCAGTAGACAACACCCGTGGAATTTTTCAAACTCACAGACCTATGCCTTGCCCAGACCAATGGCTCCTAAACCTTAGCTTGATCATCACTCCAGGAAGGGCTTATTAAAACAGACAGCTGCTACCGTCCCCACGCTCCACCTGTGTCTGCTTCATCAACTCTGAGATGGGCTGACAGTTTCCATTTCAGAGTCTGCAGGTGGAGAAGACATTGCTGGACTGGAGAGCACACGGGAGAAACCACAGCTCTGCGGAAATGGAGCCCGTAGCTCTGAGTCAGGATTGTGCATTTTTGGAAATTTTTAAATATCCTAGGCGATCTAATGAATGGTCAAGGGCAAGAACCACTGGGGGCTTCTCTGACATTTGGTAAGCAATGCGTTGTCATTTCTACATTCCTCCTTACTCTGATGTCAGGGGAGAATGGCGGGCCTAAGAGATTATAGGGGAGAGGAACGCAAGACCCCTAAGACTGCTCGGTCACAGTCAGATGCCCAGTCACGCGGGTAATCCGTGATCAGTCCTGTCCCTTTCGCGCTCTGTCACCCCAGCTCATTTCCGGGTGAGCCAGTGTGTTCTGGCAGCTCTCTAAGTGAATGAGTGAGTTGCTAATGACCTGAATGAATTAGGAAGGAGAAGTTTTTAAACTTCCTTTGGTGACTCTCACAGGAAGCAAACTCTGATGACTGCAGGCATGACTCTGAATGAAGACGATGGTCTGTGTGGGTTTCCACTGACTTCTGGGCTGACCCCTGCTGCGACAGAACTTGCCGATTCACTTCTCAAACGGTTGCCACTGACTGGTCAGAGCTGGTGTACAGGAATCGTAACGTCGTTCCATTTGTGCTGCTATGATGCAGGACCTCAGGCTCAGTCATTTATAAAGAACAGAAATTTATTTCTCACAGTGCAGGAGGCTGGGAAAGCCGAGATCAAGGGGCCAGCAGGGCTAGTGAGGGCCTGGTCTTTATGCTTCTAAAATGGTGCCCTCCTCTCTGGAGGAGAGGGACTGCGTCCTCATGGAGTAAGAGGTGGAAGGAATAGAAAGGAACAGACCTACTCCCGTGAGCCTCTTGGAAAGGGTCCTAATTCCACCTGCGATGGTCACACCTGTATGACTTAACTGTCTCCTAAGGATGCTGCCTTTCATTGTCACATCGGTGATTAAGTTTCAGCATAAGAATTTCGGAGGACACATCCAGGCCATAGCAAAGTGTGATATGTTCCTCTTAGCCTAAGCTAACTCTAGGTGACCTTAGTAGGGATTATGAGGAGGAAAAGGAGGGAATGTGACTTGGCGCTCTCTACAGTGACGAGGTACGAGTGTACCCCGTCCCGGAGGATAGACGGTGACCGGAGGCACTGTGCCTGAACGCCTCTCAGAGCAAAAGAAAGGCCCATCTTGATGCTTTCTGTTGGGATCAGAATCATTCCCTTAAAGTACAGATACCTAAAGGTCTCACAGTGGTCTTCACACGAATTTCCCCTTCTCCCTTTCGTCCCCTCCGCTTGTCTCTCTTTGTCCTTAAATTTGTAGGGATAAATGAAAAATCACGCACTGAGATTCGTAACATGAAACAACTGTCCCAGACCGCGTGGGTGATTACGCAGTAAAAGATAGGAATCTGGTTTCTTCTTTTGAGGAGCAGACAGTTTAGCCTGGGAGATAAGATCTGAATGTATCCAATGTCAAAAATAGCAGGATAAAGTTCAGTGCCAGTGTTCATGGCTTTAAGTGCTGTGTGACTTTAAGGAAAGAGAAGCCTGTGGGGGCTGAGGTGGCCAGCGAGAGCGCCATGGGCCGGGAAGGCCGCAGCGGCCCCACGGCGGGGGAGTGGGTGCAGAGGGTTGAAGGGTAAAGTCCTCTGGGAAGCCCCTCACCGTGATGCTGCGGAAACAGGATTTCCCGTGTGCTCAGTGGACAGGGACAGACCTGATCGAGGAGGAGCAGCTGGTTTGTCTCAAAAAATAATAGGAGCAAAATAACCCAGGACCAGGTTGTTTTGGTGGGATGACAGTGGGAGTTATTTCTGTGGAGCCTTGAGCATCAGGTAAGGGTGAGAAGGCAGGGCCACAATCCACAAGGAGGGGAAGCCTTGCTCGGCTTCCTGCTTGGCCAAGCAGACGTCCCCTGTGTCTTCTGCTCTTTCTTCTAGGTTTTCTCTAGATTTCTCTACAATAAAATAGCACCATTTTATTATTAGACTAAAATATGCAATGCCTTTAGCAATTAGCCCTGAATTTGTTTTGTCTGCTTATCATTACCCGGAGGCGCTCTAGGCAGGACCGAGGGGCTTGGCAGGGATGGCCCAGGAGCTGATGTGGAGAGCCTTTCCCGGGCTCTGTCTGTTTTGTGACATGTTTAATTACATCTTAATCATCACGTGATTAAACGCAACTCGTTAAAGGTGAAAACAATGATTTCTAACGTGCATTTGATCTAACCCACTGGTGGCGAACCTGTGGCACGTGTGCCCCAACAGGCCATTTATATCATTGGGAGCTCTGAAAGATTTGCCATCACTGATCTAATCTATGTGGCATAAGCCACTTCCCTAATGACCAAATTGTAAGAATTTTCCAAAGCTAAACTCAGTCAAGCGGATACGTATGGAGACATAGCATATCATAGAAGCTGACTGTCATGGAACCAGCAGACTTGTGAATTATCGTTTGGCCCCACAGGCCTCAAGAAAGCTGGGCCCTGACTAGCACCACTTCTGCAGCAATGGAGGCCCGGGCTTCCTGTTACTTTCAGAGTGTGTGTTGCGGTGGGGCATGGGGGCGCACACCTGTAATCCCAGCCCTCTGGAAGGCCGAAGCAGAAAGCTTGCGACTTTGATGCCGGTCTCAGAAATAGTGAGACCCTGCCTAAAAATAAGAAAGGCTGAGGACGTAGCTCATGCAAAGGCTCTGGGTTCAATAGCTGGTACCACAAAAAGCGAAAGAAAACAGAAAGATGTGTTGTGTGAGTGCTTCCTCCTCCATCGCACTGCTTTTGTCCCTGGTGCTTACAGACCGATGGCTGTGTGCACGCTCCCCAGCTGAGGGTTTAAGCGGCCTGCCATAACTCAGCGCTTATACATCTGTTCAATTGTCTTGAATTGTTATGAACCAGGACGAGAAAGGACCTTGAAATGTTCTATGAGAGACCAGTTGCGGGAAGTAAACTAAGGGCTGACGTCGCAGGCCTGGATCCAGGCCACAGTGCCATGCTTGTCTCTGTGCTGCCAGACTGAAAGCTCCTTGAAAGAGGAGCATCTAAGTGCTTATTATGAACTTGCAGAGTTAAACATCGAGTCGGAAACATAGTTTCTTTAAAGCCTTGTTTTGTGGAGGACATCTAAGCAAGGAGTATTATTCTCCTTCTTAGTTAGGAAGTTCAGTTTTGTCCCTGTAAGACACACTCTTCCTTAGAAATGATTGAGGATAGAAAGTCAGAAGACAAATTCAGAGATAGAGGATGTGTATCCTTTCAGTCCCAGTGTCTTGCGGCTGTGTTTCTGTGGAAGTGAATTAATGAACATGTTCCTTGATGACTTTCCAGATCAGTTATCTGGTGGCTCCTGATACAAGCAGGAGATATATGTGATTCTCTAGCTCAGCCTTACAAACTTCCAGGAAATACTTCTTTTTACTTACTTTTTTCAGCCACAGTGCTCTGGGGTAACCTTTTTGTTTTGCTTAACCCAAAGTGACCTTTTCCCCTTTCTTTTTTACTTAGGATTTAACCTTGGAGGGTTCTAGCATTACTCCATGGTGTCCCTCAATCCTATAAGGACCCAAGGCCTTGTAATTTCTTATAAGGACCCAAGGCCTTGTAATTTCCTCTGCCCTAAGAGAGGAAAATCAGTACATGTTGGGCCCCTGGGATTTCCCTTTCTGGAGAGTTCGTTGGTGCCTTCACAAAGATGTTGGTTATGCCTTACTCGCTACTTCTGGCTGCTAAGTAATGAGAAGGTTTTCAGGTTATCTGCTCTGTCACCTTGCTAAATTGAAGTCTTAGACTTCCTCTA